GCCACAGCTGCAGCCTGCTCCGATTCTAACGGCCTCGAGGGTGCAGAGTGGCCTTCCAGGGCAGCAGGCTGGGAGGGGGTTGCTAGGCCCTCCCTGTGGGGTAACTGAGGGGCCCCGTTAAGGCTGCCAATAGCTTCTGTAAGCCTCCGCATGGAGCATCTAGAGCCCTTCAAGCATGCTCCTCTCTGCCCCTAGACCTTGGAATGTGAGACTGAGTGGTCCAGATTCCAGATCCACCGTCCCTGGGTGTCTGGGCCCTGACTCCTTCCCAGGGTCCCTGGGAAAGAGATTGTTTGGGTCGGGAGGTTTGTTTTCACTTGGTCTTCCCCACCGCAGCTCCTGACTATGACACAAGCCAGTGGCTGAAGGAGAAATTCAAGTTGGGCCTGGACTTTCCCAATGTAGGTGCAGGGGAGGGGGCGATGGGGGAGGGTGAAAGGGGTCCCCACCTGCACCTCCTTTCCCAGCTTAGAGGTTTTAGGGTCAGGCACCTTCTGCTCAGCTACTCTCTTCCTGGTTCCCTGCGCTGCCTCCCCATGATGCCCTCCGTCCCAGCTCATTCATTCACTGATGTATAAACTCATTTAGGGCCTGTGTGGGCCAGGCACAGTGAGGGCCAGGTCTCCTTCGTTCCTTGCCCAGGGCACGGGGTGCTGGGGAGCCCGGGAGCCCAACTGACCTGCGTGTTGCCCACGCAGCTGCCCTACCTGATAGATGGGTCTCACAAGATCACCCAGAGCAATGCCATCCTGCGCTACATCGCCCGCAAGCACAACCTGTGTGAGTGGGGCTGCCCGTGGGGGTGGGGCGCGGTGGCCGTCCCGCTGGGCCTGGGTGGGCTGGGCTGCTGAGTGTGCATCTCTGTTGTGGGCCACAGGTGGGGAGACAGAAGAGGAGAAGATTCGTGTGGACATTTTGGAGAACCAACTAATGGACACCCGCATGGAGCTGGCCAGGCTGTGCTACGACCCTGACTTTGTGAGTGCTCTCGCCTGGCTGGGCTGTGCATGTTCCGAATCAGCAGCCAGAGCTCACACATTCCTAAATGCACTGCTCTATTTCCATCCAAACCTCTTAGTTTGGCCAACCCTCCAAGCTGTTTCCTCCACTGCAGCCAGAGCGACCTCAATCTCCAACTCCTCTCATATGAAACTTTTAATCAGTTCCTACCTTCTCAGGATAGTCCTGACTCTCCAGGACGGAACGTCAGTTTCCAGACAGTGATGGAGTTTTGAATCCCTTTGGCCTACCTCAGGTCCCGGTGGGAGTCCAGGGGTCTTCTCTGTGGTCACAACCTCCGTCCACCCCATAGCAGGAACGATAGCTGGGCCCTCAGAGGACAGGCTTTCCCACTGTTGCTCACATTCCCTGAGTGACGAGTAGGACGTCTTCCGGACCTGTGTCTCCCAGCTGGCTCCCCCACCTGCCTGTTCCAGGAGCACACAGACTCAGATCAGGAGGAAAAGATGTACATGACGGGGCAGAAATGGTAGCCGTGTTCAGAACTTTCCCTGCAGTTTCCCGGTGCTGACTCCCTGACACCTTCAGGGATCAGGACATTTTCCTAACAGGTGACTCAGGTCACCTAAGGGCCTTTGTTGTCTCATTCCTTGCTTTCAGCTTCTCAAATTCTCTTCAGCTTCCTGGAAAGTACTCAGTGTTCGTTCCATTCTTCTGCTGCACCGCTAGGTAGAACTCTCAACTTCTTTCCCTGAGTCTCATTAGTTCCTTGCTTCTATTAATTCCTCCCAGAGTCTGAAACTAAGAGCTTGCCACGTGCTTAGAACACTCTTGGGTCTGTTCCTAAGGGGGTGCTTGGAGGTCAGTGGTGACAGATTCAGAAGAGTGTCATTTTCTTTTCTGACTTTATGTTGCCTCTGACAGGTGGGTCTGGTACTTAGTAGGAGTCTAGTAAATGCGATGTATTAAATTGAAGCCTGGGCCCTGTCTCAGGGGACATGGTGGCTCACCTGAAGCAAGCGAGGCTGAGGCCAGCAGGGCCATGCACAGCATGGGGGAGGCCTGCCTTGCTGTCCAGGGTCTTTGTGACTTAGGGTGGTGACAGCTGTTTTCTGTCTCAGGAGAAACTGAAGCCAGAGTACTTGGCGGGGCTACCTGACAAGCTGAAGCTGTACTCACAGTTCCTGGGGAAGAGGCCTTGGTTTGCAGGGGACAAGGTAACAGGAGGGAGATGGGGGTGGCAGGCTGCCCTTCCTCCTCGGTGATGGACGGAGTTCCTGCCCACTCACCCCTGGCCTTCTGCAGATCACCTTTGTGGATTTCATCGCCTATGATGCCATTGAAAGAACCCGGATATTTGAGCCGAAGTGCCTGGACGCGTTCCCAAACCTGAAGGAGTTCATATCCCGCTTTGAGGTGATGCTCTGGGCCTGCTCCTCTTGGGTGTCCTGTTTTGCTTCCTCCTCCTTGGCATGCTTTTGAAATAGCAGATTTAAAAGGAAGATGGAACCAACAGATGGGGTAATGGTTACGTCCCTGGACTCCCACGTGGTCTACCGTGGTTCGAATCTCGACTCAGTGGCTTAAAACTCAGGTCAGATGGGGGGCCAGCAGGTGGCGTGGTAGTTAAGGGCACTGGGCACCCATATGTCTGACCATGGTTTGAGTCCCATACCTGGCAGTTCGCTTTCTCACTTTCTCTCTCTCTCTCACTCTCTGTCTCTCTCTGGTCAAAATAAAATAAATAAATAATGTTAAATAAAGTAATACTTTAAAAACAAACAAACAAACAAACAACTCATGCTGGGTGCATATACATGTATGCCCAAGGTCCTGAGAGGAGAATGGAGAAGGGACTGGGGCATGTCCATCTCCCAGGGTGCGGGTTCTCATTTTCTGTCTCTCTGTCTCTCTAGTGAGTACACATGCCCTATAGCAAAAATCTCTCTCTTTTTAAAAATAATTATTTAATTTTATTTATACATTCATTTATTTTAATTTGACCAGATTTTGACCAGAGAGTGAAGGAACGTGCGAAAGCAAGCCACCAGGTTCAGGACTTGAACTGTGATCAGTCGTGTGGGAGTGTCCAGCACCTTAATCACCATGCCACCTGCTGGTCCCCCAAAAAAATCTCTCTAAAAAAATAAAAGGCAGACTGGGGTTTATAGATTGCTGGCTTTATGCTGGGACCTGTGCTCTGGGTCTTATATCTACTGTATCACATGCATTCTTTACAACCTCCCTGAAAGGTCAACAGAATCATCTGTCCCATTTCATTGGTAACGAGACCAAGACCACAGAGGGCAAGTCTTCCACTCAAGGTCCCAGCGCAGACAGGGCTGTGCTGAGCTCCTCCTCAGCCTCTGGCTTCTGTGGGAGCGGTCAGAGGTCTTACTTTTATTGTGCCAAAAAAGCCTCAGTCTACGTCCAGTCTGGGTTTGACAGCCCAGGGACAGACAGAACATTCCAGATGTGCAGCTGTAGGTGGCATTAGTTGGATGACGCAGGTAGGGTTAATAAGAAGAACCATTCAACAACATTTACACCTGATCTATAGAAATCTCTGTTCCAAATGAATACTTGTCTGAGGAAGTGCTTAGAATCCGGGGCTGCACTTGATGCCGGATGGACACCTCTGTGGGTGCCCAGTAGGAGGTCTTCGTCTTGAAGTGTTTGATGGTGGGGAACTTCCCTTTCCTACTTTTCTTTTCTCTTCTTTTCTCCTCTTTTCTTTTCTTTTCTTTTCTTTTCTTTTCTTTTCTTTTCTTTTCTTTTCTTTTCTTTTCTTTTCTTTTCTTTTCTTTTCTTTTCTTTTCTTTTCTTTTCTTTTCTTTTCTTTTCTTTTCTTTTCTTTTCTTTTCTTTTCTTTTCTTTTCTTTTCTTTTCTTTTCTTTTCTTTTCTTTTCTTTTCTTTTCTTTTCTTTTCTTTTCTCAGGGGGGATGGTCACGCCGCAATCCCTTCTCCTCCATGCTCCTCTTGGGATCTTGGGCACGCACGCACACGTGCCCGGCGTGAGTTTAAACCACCAGGTCTGGGACTCAAACCATGGTCAACTACATGGGAGTCCAGCGACATAGCCATTAAGCTAATGCTGGTCCCTCCTTTCCTACTTTTCATCCTGTTCTTCTTCCTTCCAATGTCCGAGTGTCTGAGACAGGACAGCACACTGATTTGCACTCATGGTGTTCACCGATATTGTGTTTGAGGCCAGTGGTGGTTGTACACGTGACCCCCTCCTGGACCTGAGAGTAGTCAGAGACCTGCGGGCACACCAGGCTGTGAGCTGCGGGTCATAGCACCTGGGTCCTGGGGTCCCCATTCTGGACTTCACCTCATACCTAGATATCTGTCACCTGTTGACAACTTATTCAAGAGCAACAGAACCTATTTACAATATATTTGGGAATTTGAGGCATTTGTCCAATATGGTTTTTTTTGGGGGGGAGGGGTTTTTGCCTTAGGGCACTTGCGCTCGCCAGACAGAGAGAGAGAGAGACAGAGAGACAGAAAGTGAGAAATCACCCCCCCAGGGGGGATGGCCACGCCTCAATCCCTTCTCCTCCATTCTCTTCTCAGGATCTTGGGCACGCACGCACACGCGCCCAGTGTGAGTTTTAAGCCATCGGGTCCGTAACTCGAAATGCGGTCGACTACATGGGAGTCTAGCAACATAGCCATTATGCCAACTGCTGGTCCCTCCAATATGTTTTGAGCCTAGAATCTGTTTTCTTTCTTTCTATTAAGAATTATTTACTGGGAACCAGCAGTTAGCGTAATGGCTATGTCGCTGGACTCCCACATAGTCGACCGCGGTTCGTGTCCCGGACCTGGTGGCTTAAAACTCACGCCGGGCGCGTGTGCTTGCGTGCCCAAGATCCCAAGAGGAGAATGGAGGAGAAGGGATTGCGGCGTGACCATCCCCCCTGGGGGGTGATTTCTCGCTTTCTGTCTCTATGTCTCTGTCTGTCTGGCGAGCGCACGCGCCCTACAGTGAAAAATCTCTCTCTCAAAAAAAAAGAATTATTTACTTATTTAATTCTATTTGTTATTACTATTTTTTAAACAACCCGAGAGCAACAGAGTGAGAGAGCAGGGAAAGGGAGAGAGCAAACCACCAAGTCCAGGATTCAAACCAGTCAGCCATGTGGGAGTCCAGTGCCCCAACTACCATGCCACCTGCCGGCCCCCTAGAATCTGTTTTCTTGTCTCACTACAAGTCAGAAGATCTGCCTTCTCAGCTAGTTCTCAGCGCTGGTTCAGGTCCAGGCCCAGTGGCCTTGGGGATTACGCAGGAGCTCCCATGACTGGGAGGGCGCGGGGGAGCTGAGGGCTGCAGCCTGTGGCCTGCCTGGCCTGGCCTGTCGGTTCCAGGCACCCCAGATCTCTTTGAGCCCTTTAGCAATGGCCTGGGCACTGTCTCCAGGTACGATGGCACAGAACACAGCTAAGTGTCCCAGAGCCTGGTCCCCTGTGACAGATGCGGGAGGAGATGGGGTGGGCTGGCTCACTGAGACTGGGCTGAGGCAGCAGGCAGAGGAGCGGCAGGTTCTGAGCCCCTTTTTCCTGCTAGAGATCCCTCCCCTGTGTGCAAAACCAAGCCAGCCAGGGGCCTCCCTGTGATAAGGAAAGTCCTTGTGCAGACGGGGGGAGTGCCAGGGCCTGCTGTGGGGAGGGACTGGGAGGGCCAGAGGGGCAGAGAGAGCACAGAATGGAGAGAGACAGCGCCAGCTGCCTTCTAGCCTTGCCCCGCCTGCCCGCTGTGGGAGCAGGGGCCGTGGCTCCCCCCCTGTTTTCCCTTCGGATGAATGGTGGCCGCAGGACAGCTGAGAGGACTTTCTAACCCTTCGTTGTCACCTCTCCTGGCTGAAGCTCTAGCACAGGGTCAAGTCTCTGTAGTGGCAGCTCTTCTTAATGCCCCACATCAGCTGAAGGAAACCCCACAGAACTGGCCCTGAGCAGGCTGTGAAGACCCAACCCTTGACCCCCATGGACAGGCTGCAGTCAGGGTTCTGGACTTCTGTGCCTGGATGCGCTTGCTTCGAGCCCCTGTGCAGCTCTTGCAGAACCTGAGCTCTGGCTTTCTTTATCCCATTGTCAGGGCCTGGAGAAGATCTCCGCCTACATGAAGTCCAGCCGCTTCCTCCCAAGACCTGTGTTCATGAAGGTGGCCGTGTGGGGCAACAAGTAGGGCCGTGAAAGGCCTGGTCATGGGCCCAGCTGGCTGCCTGGAGCCCTGGAGAACTGCTGGAATCTCCACCATGCCAGCTCCAACTTCTCAGCCTTTTCATTCCTTTCTTCTCCCCAAGGCTTCCTTGGCCCTCTCTTCTCCCACCAACCCATCAGCCCAGGACCTTTAGGCTCCAGCTCCCACTTTCCTTCATCTAGTTATCTATCCAGCTGACAGAGATTAAGATTACTGAGGCCTTTTAAATTAATGAGGGCCCACAGAGAATGCAGATTGAGACTTTAGTCATGCATGCTGTGTTTTTATGACTGTTAAAGGAGTACAAAGATCTGCCTCCAGTGTCCTGAACTATATCCTAAGAGATTGTAGTCATGGAAACTCAACCTTGAAGCAGTGCATAGACAATTAAACTTTGTGCTAAAATTGTTAACTAATGTGAATCTGATAAATCCTTGAGAAACAAAGTGTAACTTGTCTCTTTCCACTCTTTTTCCCTTTGTTTCCTTTTCCTATTAAAAAAATCAAAACCCAAATTCTGCTATTTTAGAGCCTTTGTCCCTGGGTGTCTATCTTCATGTCTTGGCTTGAATAAATTTTTTTTACAAGCTTGGGTCACATGTCTTTATTTCAGGTTGATATAGCATTTTTCAGTACTTTCCACAGCGGTGCAGAGCTGCGTGTATCAGTGAGCAGGAGGCAGAGATGGGATCCCCATCAGAGAGAACCAGGACCCTTTGCCTTCCACGCTGTCAGGCTCTGTGACATCAGTGAGGTCTCTGGGATCCTTCTGTACTCTTTTTGTTCCCAGACCTCTTAAAGGTGCCCTCCCAGGCTTGCCACAAGGTTGTCATTTACTTTGTCTCCTTCAGTCTACTGCCTTAGGATCCTGGGCCACTGTGAGATACATTCTTTCAGTCTGTGCATAACTTGCAATGTCTTTATCTGTGAGACCAGCAGATGGCATAACAGTTACCTCGCTGGCCTCCCACAAGGTCCACTGCGGTTTGAGTCCAGGACCCTGTGGCTTCAAACTTACACCAGGTATGTGTATGTGCATGCCCCAAATCTGTGCATGGAGGAGAAAGGATTGCAGTGTGGCCATCCCTCCTGGGGGGTGATTTCTTGCTTTTTGTCTCCCTGGTGAGCACCCTATAACAAAAATCTCTCTCTAGAAAAAAAGTCTTTACCTGTGTACACCATTTAATTAACAATTTGACTGGGTCTAGG